CCTCGTAAATTACGCTGGATGCGCACCCCCAGGCTACGAATCCACCTCGCGGAGGCTGCCCAAAGGCGACACTCCTTCTCCTGAGCAGAAAAACTGCAATGTCCCCAAATACTGCCTGAAACAATCAATCCCCAGCCGTTCCCAGAGCGCTTCCAATGAACAACTGGAGGAAAATGCTCTGAGAAGACAACAAAGCGTTCAACAATGATTTCAGAATCTCGACATGTTTTGCTTATCGCCAGCCGTCCTAGCATAACGCTCCCGAATGTCATCAAGACGGTGCCCAGACATCCCAATATAGCTCTGATGTATCCCCTTCTGATGGAGAGGGGACTGGCGGCAGGGGGCGAAGCCCTTACGGATAATCAAAAAATGCCCCCCAAATGGACAAAAAATGTAATTTTAAAAAAGAAAAAATAAAAAAGAAAGAAACAATAATAAAAAAAAGTCCCCAGAATATGCTTTAACTATGTTTGAATATTCTTCCTGTATAGAGGGACAGGCCCGATTTAAGGTTGGACGACGGCGGGCCGGCACCGATAGCAGCCGCCCGCACGCGAGGCGAGGTGGAGCAGATGAGAGCAGGCCAGCCCCGACGAGCGCCGCCGCCCGCGGCGAAGGAGGAGAGCGCGACCCACGGGATTGCAAGCGGGCCCTGCTGAAGGGGACAAGGGACACACAAATAAATAGACACAAATAGCAGGAGTCCCCATAGTTTCCCATATCTTCTGGGCTTTTGTCTGTGTGTGTTTTTCCCCCCTGACCTTCTGCCATCGTAGAGATGCACGAAAACTGAGCGGACCAGCGAGGGGCCCCCATCACCAGCGGCACGAAGATCGCCCACTCAACAAACGGGTGAGGAGACGCTGCTCTGCAGTCCGCGAACAACTACGCAGCCGCATCGCGCCGCCCAAGGTGAGCCAGCGAGCCGCCCCCCTCAAACTCTATGGTATTGCCCGAGGTCTACCGGCCAGGCCCCTCCGGACTGGAACGAGCGAATGGCGATTAAACTTACCCTGAAAATCGGCTTAGCCATCGCAGCGGCAACAAGCTTGCAATCCGCGCAGCCCATCGAGAGAAGGCGAGTGGCGGAGGGCTTCCTGGCGGTAACAGCGGCGGCGCCGGCAGGGTGATCGCCTTTAGCTTGGAAAACCAAACTCTCGCGAAGATCACTCGACAGTGGCTCGTCGGGGCGAGAGACGCAGCGCAGATAGAAGTCACGCAGAATGTCCTGGGCCCCGAAGCGCTTGCAGCAGCTGCGGGGAACGCCATCGACACCCAGCAAAGGAGCCCCAAGAAGACCCCGCCAACTTCGAAAGGCCCTGACGGTCAACCACACATTCGAAGTCTGGGACCCGATCACTGATCTGATCTCCTGGTCACGCGGAAGTAGGGTGGCCCACGGAGAGCGGGCAATCGGTTTCGAGTCGGAAACCACCCCCCCGTGACGCGACAACTCAGCCCCTGCATGCTGCGCCGATGAGAACGGCGCACCTGCGTCCTCTGCCAGAATATCCCAAGCCTCACAGACTTATTCAACAAGAGCCACCGAACACGTTTGCGCGTCACGCGTGCACGCCCGAGCGCAATCTCGCGCTCAGGAAGCGCACTGGCCTGCTACAACGCCCCCGCCCCCATCAAGCAACTGATTACTCAACTGGGCAATGCGCGCACGCAGCCCCTGCGGATCAAAGAGGGCGCCAGCATCGATGTCAAAGAAGGCAGCGAGACGAAAGCCAGCACGGAGAGCGCGGACAACAAGATCGAAAGCGCGGGCACGGAACCCCCGAGGGGCAGCAATGGACCCGCGCAGATACTCACGAAGAGTCTTGGCAAGACGACACCGCCTCAACTTCCGAAATTCAGCACGAGCCTCGTGCGTCGCCACCTTGGTTCGAGCCAACTGGAGAGCCATCGGGGTCCCAGGGCTGATCTCGTCCGACCTTCCAGTAAGCAACTCGCCTAACTCCGACGAGCGTGGGATCCAGGATCTGACTGGGGAAGGCCTTCACTGTTACGAGGTTTCGGCGAAATAGTGACCACCACAGGTACATGATCGGACGGATTCTTGAGGTTAGTCGGCACGCCGACGGTGGCGCCTGAAGTCCATCAGCACAGAGGAGTGGATATCCGCACACGCACACACACACACACAGACACACACACACACACACACACAGACACACACACACACACACACACACACACACACACACACACACGCGATCCAGACGAGCCGTTGAGACAATCGTGGCGCCATGGCGTGCACGACGAGCGTTCTGAGTCTGAAAGAGTTCTGTCCCGTATACGAAGAACGCGCTCCACTCCCTGGTAAGACCCGCTTCACCCTGGATGTGGTACCCTGATAAATGCTGACCCGATCGCCATTACTGAGAATGAACCTGACATCGCCGAGAAAGATGCGGATAGCAGAACCGGCAGGGAGGATAGCAGAGCGAACGCAAGAGAGGCAGTGGCGGCAGCAATCGATACTTGCGCCTACGTTCGGATGATGCATGGCCAGGATACCCAGCAGCCCGTGCTCTCCCCACCCGACAACATAGGAAGCTCCCCCGGGAAACATTACCTTCCGAATGAAACCATGAAACGTAGAAGCAACATTCACCTGAACGCAGGCCAGGACCCCATGCCCAGGAAGATGACCATGGTGCGGGCCACAGAAGAAGGAGCGCGAGGGAATTCCTTTCACGGAGCAACAAATTTCCAGAGTGGCCCTGGTGCTCCTGGATACAAACGATACAGCGCCTCCTGGTGAGCCCCCTGAAGAGCTTCCGCCCTGCAAAAGCTCTGGTTTCTCGCACCAGATGCACGAGCGAACAGACCACGAACATTCCAATGGACAACAGATACCGGTCCCCTCGGAACGAAGAGGAGGAACTGCCACGCCCCGAGCTCCCCCGGAAGGAAGTGCGCCTCGTCGGGCCTGCACACCAAAAAAGCAGGCTCCTGCCCGAGCCACCCAGACCCCGAGGGGCCAGCAGGAGGATTAGCAGGCGGACTGACGTCAAACACACGACCCTGCCAACACCCTATCTGCAGTCTCGCGCTGATCACCTGAACACCAGTGCATCAAAGCGGCACGAAGAGGCAATCGCACGAGAATCTTCGAGAACGGCGTCAAACTTCTGGACGCACTAGACCTTGTACGCATCACCACTCTTCTCAGTCTGAATGAAAATCAGCCCAGTGCTCACAGACGAGTCGATATTCCAGTCAGCGACGTTGGGAATCTCTTTGATGACATTCTCGAGCGCAGAACAAATATTACCAATGACTGTGAACTGATCGTGAGTTTCACCGTCATCCCCGAGAGGTTTCAGGCGAAGGACCTTCTCACTCTTGGGCGCCTGGAGTGGGAAAACCGATGGTAAGTTACGACGGAAGGTGGCAATGGTTTCTGCTGCATCAACCGAGGGGAACGGCAAGACCATCTTCTTCGAATCCTTCTCAGGGGTAACTTTCATCACGACTCGGACCTCTTTCGACGCACATGCTGAGAAAATCGCGAGACTAGCCGCGTGCAACACTTTACGAGTGAGCTCTTTTGCGAAGCCCATGACAATCCTTTTGCTCAAGAGATCGGGAAAAAACACGACGAAGGGAATAAGTAGAAAGGAGACGAACTCCGCGACCGAAACAGACTCATCAGACTTCTTCGAAGCCATCGCGCCCCCGAGCAGATCGGGATCCGAGCGAATCGGAGGGGGAGGTGCACGCGAAGCAGCTGGGCCCAGGTTTCGAGCGGTCCCCTCAGCTGCCAGCAAACTCAAAGTACCAGGGATTCGCGTTTCAAAGTTGAGCAAGAATGGCTACAGAAGGTGATGGTGATGGTGATTACGGTGACGAGGAGCATGATGATGCCGCTGAAAATGAAGATGGTGATGATGACGATGACGATGATGCTTATGATGACGATGATGCTGATTTTACGCGCACTCGAAGCGGGGCGACTTCATACGACATACATATATTCCCGATGTGCTTAATCCTTGCGTTCTTCGTGGTGCCCAAGATCTGGGGCCCGTTCACGGGCCCCAGGACCACTACAAATGGATCCAGGACGAAGAACTACCCCATGGGGAAGGAGTCGGGACCTCTGGGGCCGCGCATTGAAAAAAACACATCTTCAGACGTCTAGGTGTTATGTATAGCGCTATAGTGCACGGGTGACTTGATGCAGCATGCTCTAACGAGGGGGTGGGCGACTCCGAGCCCCGACTTTGTGGGACTCTCGATTGCGGAAAACATTTGTAGCGCAACTAGGGGATGTACGATGAAGGGGGCGCCCATCCTCGATAGGAATGTGTCCGAATACCCTCCGTATCCCCGAGATCCCCGTCTATTTGAGCGGCCAGTTTGTCAGGGAGAACTCGAGGGGGTGAGAAATCGCCTGGGACATTATGAACATCGGTGTAGTGCACGACGAGCGTGCAGAAAGTTTAGCAGCGACACGACCAGCTCACAGGTGCGCGGCTGAGGCCGATGCCGTCTGGGTCGTTGCTGCCCCATCAGGCCCCGCTGGCCACCAGAAGACGTACCCTCATGCTGCCCGCACGGCCTCCCGACGACGATGACGAAGACAACGACGACGACGACGACGATGACGACGACGACGACGGCGACGGCGACGGCGACCACGATAACGACGACGACGACGACGACGACGACGACGACGACGACGACGACGACGAAAACGACGACGAAAACGACGACGACAAGGACGACCACAGCAAAATCGACGACAGCGAGGAGGACTGCGACGACGACGGCGAGTACGAGCACGACGACGGTGACGACGACGACGACGACGACGACGACGACGACGACGACAGCGACGACGACGACGACGACGACGACGACGACGACGACGACGACGAGGACTGCGGCGACGACGACGACGACGACGAAGACGACGTCGAGGACTGCGGCGGCGACGACGACGCGGACGACCGCCGCCGCCGCCGCCGCTGGAGCTATGACGGCTCGAGCGCACCTTTCCGGCGCGCGCCTCAGAGCGCGGGGCCGTCCGGCGCGTAGAGCCCGCCCTCCTCGCAGCGGTAGGGCCCCGCGGCGCCCTCGAAGCCGAAGGGCACCGAGGGCGCTCGGCGGCCCGATTCCAGGTGCACCTCTAAGCGGCGGCGGCGGGGGCAGACCGCAGAGGGCAGAACATCCACCCCGACGACAACCACCCCGACACGCGAGGCCTTGAGTAGACGCGCCCAAAGGAGGAATCGAACAGGGCAGGGCTGTTTAGTAAACGCCCAGGGCAGCTTTTAGCAGACGCCACTTGTCCGGTCCGGGTGGCTTCTTCCTCCCTCGAGACCAGACCTCTCTCGAGAGGTGCGGCTCTTGCTGCGGCGGCGCGCCCCGGGGGAGCAAGGGGGCCGCCCGGGGTGCTCGTGCCGTGCACAAGAGGGGAACGAAGAGCGACATCAAACGCAAAAAGTCTCGGAGGCCCGCGCGGACTTCTGGGATCGGCGCCGGTGGACACCCCTGGCGGCGGCGGCGGCGGGCGCAGACCGGACCTCTCGAGAGGTGCGGCGTCTGTCGTGGCGGCGCGCCCCTCTGGGGGAGCAGGTGGACGCCCAAGGTGCTCGTGCGCTCGCTCGTGCCGTGCACAGGGGGCTACCCACCAGACCACCCCAACCCAGCCCGAGGACCCGAGCTTCGCCCGAACTTCGGGTTGGGGGGGGTGCGGGCTTCATATGTGGTTTTTCCATGTTCCCCGACCCCCCCCCCCCCCCACTGGAAATGGAGGGCAACTCAGGGCCTTCGGGTTGGGTTGGGGTGGTTTGGTGGGCGGTGAATAGGGGAACGAAGAATGACATAAACATGTAAACTCGGAGGTCTGCGTGGATTTCTAGGATCGCCGCTGGACCCCCCTGGCGGCGCCTCCGGCGCCGCCCCTGGCGCGCTCCGCGCGCCAGGGAGGGGGATCTGGCGCCGATCCGAGAAATCCGCGCGGACCTCCGAGTTTTTATGTTTGTGCTATTCTTCGTTCCCCTAGTGCAGCCAAAATGTGTATTAAGGACGGGTGGTATGGACGCAAGACCCTTGGAGGCCGAAATCGGGACTTTTTGGGCGGCGGGCGACCAGTAAAAGCGGCAAACGACGGGCCGCAGAGGCAAGGACATAAGGGTACCCTAGGTGAAGTCGCGCGTCCTTACTAGGCGCGTTGACTGTAGGCTGTGGCAGCTCATGGGCGTAAATGTTGGCAGGTCATCTGTACCAACAGACATGGAGCACTCTTTGGCGCCACGTGGAGGCGGCACTCAGAACATGCATCTTGGAGCCAGAAACTGGCCCCGGCCAGACGAAGTGCGTCGTGCAGCACGTCGGGAATACACCGCGAAAGGGTACGGACAAAATGGGCAGAATTCCCAACAGCAACTGCAGGCGGCCTTCTTTCTCAAATCCACAACGCCCGCGGCGGCACAGACAGCGATTCCGGTTCAAAACGGGCAGGAACTGATGTCCGTCTTCGTCCCCATTCTTTCCGTACCTCCCAGAAGGCTCGGAGAGTCCCTGGCCTTCTGGAGAGCTTCGTGAGCCTCCTCCGAAGCCAGAGGCGGCTTCCTGGCAGGCACGAGGGCTTCAGAGAGGCCCCGCCGCCTCCCGAGGCGGCCCGCCCCCTCTCGCTCCCCCCCCCTCGGCCCGCCGCCGCGTGTGGAAAAAGGGCCACACGGGGCGCGGGCCCTGAACGTGGGCCCCTCCGCCAGAGGGCCCAGTGCCTCCGTTGATGCACCGAGTTAGGAAGGCACCAACCATACACCAACACCGATCCTGGCCAGGATCGGTGTTGGTGTATAGTTGGTGCCCTCCGACGAGTGCGAAGAGCACTCCAATCCAAGGTTGGAGAGCTCCAGCGCGAAGAGCCAAGGGAAGCCAGGGCTCCCAGAACTCCGACGTCCTGGCTTTCACGGGCGGCGAGCACATCCATATCAACGCCCTCGCGGTCAAGATTCGGGGGCCGGATGGATCCCGTGGATACGCGGTCGAATGGATACGTTCCATGCGGGACATCCGCGAAAAAACGTCCCGTATACACGGCGTCGCGGCCCAGGGGGCCAGCCGGCGAGGCCGTGGATACGGATCTGCTTTCCGCCCGCAAGAGTTGTTCCATACCGAGGTTTTCCGTCGACTTCTGGCGTCCGGGGTCCGTCATCGGGCCTCTGGACCAGCAAAAATGAATCCAGGGGCGAAAACCCTACCCCCAGGACTGGAACCTCTGGGTCCGCGCAGCGAAGAGAAGCCACACTGCCACATGCCTGGGACCCCACAGGGTCCGAGCGCGTTGCCACCTGTCCGCGACGGGCGCTTCCGGCCAGGTGGAGGCTCTGGGACCCGCGCGGATCGACTCGGCTCGAGAGGTGCCGCAGAAAGACGGGGCCCAGGGCTGCGGTGGTGATGCCTCACGATGCTGCACTGCTTCTCGCGCCGACGGATCGAAGCCTCAGATCCGTGGGCGCCTTAGAGTTGTTTGAAATGAATGCTGGAGGCTAGTTTGACTCAAAAAACGCACACAAATCTGAGGGACAACGGCGGCGGCGGGGCAACGACAGCAGCGTCGGCGGCGGCGACGGCGACGGCGACGGCGACGGCGGGGGCGGCGCAACCACGGCGGCGGAGGCGGCGAAGGCGGCGGCGGTGACGGCTATGATTAGGTCGGGCATGTCCCCCTGCAGGCGGATGTTGGACGAAAAATTAAAAATAGTCCAAAAGTAATCCAAAATGGTCAAGAAGACTTTGAAAAAATCGTCCCCCGAATATCTGTTGACTATTTCTGAATACTCCTCCGGACACGCCCGACTTAAGGCTATGGGCCAGAGTGTCGGTGCACGGCCGGCGCCCCCGATTGAGAGCGAGTCCAGGGACGGAGGGTCGACGTCGATCAAAGGACAGACGCTTCTCTTGCTGCACGTGAGCGTTTCTTTACTCGGCGTCTCGACAGTGGGCGGAAGGGGAGGGGTGAGTTGGGCGGCGCGTAATGGGGGGGTCGTAAATGGGGGGGTGGCGAGGGTGGTCCGAAAAGGTACCCAAACGGTACCTAAACGAGCCCCCTGGGGCTCTGGAGGGGCCCGAAAGGGGCACGAAAGGGGACCTTTTCTGACCCCCCCATTTGTGACCCCCCCATTAAGCCACGCCCAAGTGAGAGGGGGGGGGGTCTGGCTCCGGACCTCTGCTCAGTGCGACTGCTTGCAGCAGTGCGTCCTAAGGGGGAGGGACCCCGCCTGATCGAAACAGGCGCCCAAAACAGCCAGGATCTACTCCATGAAAAGGCGGGGGTTGGGGGGCCCGCGCCGATCGGCAAAACAATGAGTAAAAAGCGATCACCACCTCTTCCAGTGAGGATCCCCAAGTTTGAGTCGACGCTCAAACAGCTTCAGATACAGAGTCGCACACGGGATCCTAACTGCTGCATCAGCCGCACATGCGACCACACTCTGCACAACGTATCTTTATTCCCTCGTGCTTAAAACCGACGTCCAGCTAATTCCTTGCACTGGTCCAGCATAGCAGGAAGACGGCCCTCATCTCAACGGAGACCTGACTTCGCTCCACATGCTTTCAATCGCTGCCATGCTAGCCTTGGAACGCGATGATGAGACTGCAACACCTAATAAACAACGTTGGCGTCGAATGCTGTTGGAATACGGTACCAGGTCGCGTGCGGGAAATCACCCCCAGGGCACGACACGCAGCACATGATACGCAGCGTCTGAGCTCACGGCATGCGGGACAAAAAGCCTCACAACCTCTGGTTAGCGCACCATCACCAAGCCAAGCTTTGGCTACCGGTCGCCCTCTGCCTGCTCGGCTCATTCCTAGCATCCCCGCCCTCGCGCCTCGAGGTGCAGGTGCGGCCGCGGGCAGAAGCCAACGTCCCCGGAGCAGCAGAGCTTCTGTCCTCGGCTGTTATGCGCTTCGAGGTGCACAAAAAAAAGGGAACTGCTCAACAGCTCCGAGCAGCACGGCGTGTCCACACGCTCCGCGCGCCCCTCCCCCCCGTCCCGCAGATTCCTCCCGACACGCCATGGAACTATCCCCAGACACCGTAATTGCAGATGCCCAAGCAGTTGGCAGCATGGCACGATGTTCGGAGCTGCCGCATGCAACGCCGAGCTATCCTTCGCAAGATCAAGGGATCACCATGTGGAGTCGTGCTGCTTCCCCCTTGCCTCACAACTGCAGAAGTGGCTTCCAAAGCCTGCTAAAGTGAAACAGACCGATGTTCGATGCAAACTTGTTGAACATGCAATTGTACACGTCTACGGACTACCTTACACGCGCCAAGTAAATGTGAACACGCGCATACACGTACATTGCGTTAGTAATGGCATGCGCACACGAATTTACAAACATGCCACTGTAATGGTTCCTCCACGCAAAACGCCACAGGTGGCACAACCACATCGCGAATCTGAAGGTCGCTAGGCAAACCGCAAACACCGCACAAGCCGACCGGCAATAGGCAAACTCATGCAATGAACCGTGGCTTGAACAGCAAATCGACCACGCAATTGCTCTGCGTGCACGTGGATATCCCCCGCGACCCGCTCGGGACTCAGACGGGGGCTCGGAAGCGTGCCGGACCCAGGCAGGAAGAGGGTCGCCACACGAACCGACCTGACAGTACAGCCGACCCATATCGTAAGAATGCTCGGTAAGGACACAAGGGCACAAGGGCATTTCAAGGCCAAGTCAGCACTTTGCGGGCGGGGCGCGGCAACCAAAAGCGGCCAAGGATGGACCGAGGAGGCAAGGATGCAAGTGTACGATTGGGAAGGTTGACCATCCTTACTATGCGGGTTGAATGTAGGCAAGCCCATGTGGAGAACCCTCCCTTTGGAGAGATACGGTAACGTGACACGTGAAAAGATCACCAGCGGCCACAGCAGCCAGCGATATCACAGCGGGTACAGGGCGAGACAAGCAGGGGGATCGGGGGAGCAGAAGCCAATCCGCCAAGATGCGACCTCGCGGAAAACACAGATATATAACTGCCCCTGGCTTTTACCATGTCGAAGGCGCGGTGAAAGAGCTAAATTGCAAAGTTCAGTGGGATGGAAAAGGGAAGGTGAGGAAAGAGAATAGGAAGAGCAGGAGGAGGCGGAGGAGAGAAAGTGGATAACACACACCTAGAAGCAATCCTTCTGATTGCCCGGCGGAAGCCAGGATCTCTCGGTTACGTGGTAGCGAGCAGAGTTGGAGACAACAGAAGACGCCACGGGTAAACGCAGGAGGACAAGGGGGACCGGCACCAGGTGGCCAGGAGGGCGCAGCAGCGGTGGTGGTAGCGAGAGCGGATGGTGTTCGGCAGTCTGGCAACAGCCTGGCGGGAGAGGTATCGGCCACGCGACTGGGACAAAGTCGCATTTCCTGCCCCCTGCGTGTGGCCACGCGGCGCATGCGGAAGCGTACAAATTGACCATCGCAACTGGACGGAATGGTCGTTTCTATCCCTGGCAGCTCGTATGGCCAAAAACACGCACTGCAAGTTGCATCAGCAGGCAAGACTACATCACGCGGGAATCAGAACTCGCTGTGCCACCCTGGCGCGTGCCTCATGGGAGACGGGGGGACGGGGAGAGACAGGGGGCAGGAGGAGAAAAAGGGCCTGCACCACGTTCTGACATGCCGGCCGCACTTCGCAGGTCGACTGCCGCAGGTACGACAAAACCTATGTCTTCACTCGCGATTGTGAGCCGACCGCTCAGAGCTCATAGGAGGAGGGGAGGAGGAGGAGGGGGAGGATGAGGAGCACGACGAGCGGGGCAGGAGGGAGACGAGGAGTCGCGCTCGCGCTCCACGCCACGAGTGCGCGAGCATCGGGAAGCCGACGCTGGCGTCGCAGATCAAACTGTGGCATCAGGCCGCGCACGGCCTGCGTGCGCGAGCAGGGGGCGTCGGGAGCGACAGCGTGCCGGACACATGGCGCAGCGTGCCGGCAGGCGGCGCAGGACGGCCACGGCGGTCGCGACCGGGCACGGCGGGGCGCAGTCCCAGGAGGTAGGCGCCCTGCTGTCCGACGGCGGCGCCTGCAGCCCGAGCTCGTCCCCACAGGCCTGCCAGAAGGCGGGACACGCGAGGTAGTGGCACAAGCCGTCCCCTGCGGCGCGGCCGAAAGTGCACGCGGTATCGCCCCCAGTGCGTCCTGCCGTGGTCCAACCGTCGGGGAGCGAGCCGAAGGACGCGCGCCAGACGCGCGGGGGCACAATCGCGGTGAGGCGCTGCAGCAACCTGACTGCCCCACGCACGCGGTGCCCCACGAGGGTCGCCAGGTCGAAGCGGCCCAACTGTTGCCGAACATGGCGAAATACACCGTCAATCGCCGGAAGATTGATGAGTTTCAAATACTCTTTCTGCCAACTGTTTCGTGCTGCGGCCTCTCGGCCCGCCCCTCCGGGAGCGCCGGCCGGGCGGGTCATCATGGCGGCAGCATCAGACCCACGCTGAAGCGCGACAGACGCGTGGCAGCAGTCAACTATGGACAAAGGCCACATCCCACCAGCGACCCCAGGCCGCAGCACGGGTTGGGAAGCTGCAAGCGCAGCGAGCACGGCGAAGTGCGGTGCAGCGAAGCTCGACCCGAAGACCCCGTGGCGACGGCCCTCCCAGTGGGCCCCGCGGCACTCGGCCGCCAGCGCCGTCTCGTGGTCGTTGGGAAGGTTTATTGTTGTGGATGCCATGACAACGGACACTCTAAGAATCCTATCATTGAACTGGAGATGTGTTTACAATGTGTAAAAATGTTCAAAAAAAACGTTTCAAACATGTTTTCAAAAGAGTTAACACATATTTGAAACATCTTTTAGACATATGGAAATTATTTGGCTGCACGCTTCCTCTCCATTAATCGACTTCCACAAGTTTATTGGGCAACCAGGGTGTTAGGGGGCACGCAAGAACGAAGGCGGTAAACAGCACCAGTGGCCACGGAACTACAGTTTGCCGTGACCTCAGACCCTTCAAAGATGCGCTCCTGTATTGGCGCCGCTGGCTCAATGTCTTGCTCCACCATGGCCAAGTCGTCGGCGTACGGACACATGACTCCCCGAAGTTCGTATTACAGGCAACGGCCTGGGACGAGACGTCGATGGTGGTTTTGGTCCGATGCGTTACACTTGCACCGTAGAAGGTTTCTGTTGAAACGATGGTGAAGGCCAAACTGCACCGTGCGGACCCTCGAGCCAGCTGCGGCTGACCTGAGGATGATGGCGCGTATCGCGATAGAGAGAACAAGGCAAAACGACACATCCTCCCACAGCATCCTCCGCGGCGGGCCGCCAGGCTGCACAAAAGCCATCCAGCCGAGCGAGCCAACGGGGCCCTCGCTCGCACACGACCAGGAAGCTTCACCTCCCCGCAGCAAGCGCTCGCACCCTCCTCTGCTGCGGTGAGCACGCAGGACGGCCCACAGCCAACAACCGCCCTGCGCATTTGGACCCAGCTCTGGGGCCCTCCGCAGCACGACCCCC